CGGGACTTCCCAGGGTTTGGAAACTTACTCCCAGTAGGGGGATTGGAGAAAGATGGGGACCCTAAAATTGATGAGGCATCCACAGCAGACTGTCAACCCCCAATCTTCTCTGAAATATCCCCAGATTTGTTCTCCACTCCCAGACAGGGTAGAAAGACAAAAAAGGAAAGAAGGGCCGCTAAGGCCTTGGGAACCCGAATACTGACCCAAAGCCAGAGGGTCGCTCTTGTAGGTAGGCGGACCCGCGCAGCTGAAAAGGAGGCCATGCAGGAGGGAGAAGCACCTGAGTCTGACCCCCACCCTAATGCTTCTGAACCAGTAGAGGCAACAGAGACTGGGCCCCTAAATCTTAGGCAGATTAGCCCCGGGAGAGGAAATTTTGGACGGGACCAGGCAGAAGACCCAAGGTACGACAACATCAGGAAGGAGGTGACTGAAATAGATGGGGTCCCCTTGGTGTTGAGCAGGGGGAGGGATATGTGACAGACCCAGACCAGTGGGGTACAGGAGTCTGGTAGAGGGCAAATATACTGGTCACTGGATGGGTAGTTTTCTGTTCCCTGAGTGACCAGAGCAGGGGCTGCACTAGAGTAATCAGGAATCTGCTAGAACCAATTAAGGCAGGCAGGCTAATTAGGACACCTGGAGTCAGTTAAGAAGAAGCTCCTAGAATCAATTAAGGCAGGCTAATCAGGGAACCTGGGCTTTAAAAAGGAGCTCACTTCAGTTTGTGGTGCGAGTGTGAGGAGCTGGGAGCAAGAGGTGAAAGGAGCTGAGAGTGAGAGGGTGTGCTGCTGGAGGACTGAGGAGCACAAGCGTTATTAGACACCAGGAGGAAGGTCCTGTGGTGAGACTAAGGAAGGTGTTTGGAGGAGGCCATGGGGAAGTAGCTCAGGGAGTTGTAGCTGTCCTGCAGCTGTTACAGGAGGCACTATAGACAGCTGCAGTCCACAGGGCCCTGGGCTGGAACCCGGAGTAGAGGGCGGGCCCGGGTTCCCCCCAAACCTCCCAATTGACCTGGACTGTGGGTTCTTCCAGAGGGGAAGGTCTCTGGGCTGTTCCCCAACCCACATGGTGAATCTCTGAGGCAAGAAAATCCACCAATAAGCACAGGACCCACCAAGATAGAGGAGGAACTTTGTCACACCACATAAGTTGTTATTTGGAATAGCTATGCTGGTCAATTTCCCCATGTAGACAAATCCTTACAGAAACATCAGTTATAAGCTAAATATTCCCCCTCACCCTCCCATCATGCTAAAAATATCTATTATAATTCCTGTTGTCATGATACATGATGTATTTCCTACATGTACTAAACATGAACTAAAGCACTGGTGGCCAATGGGACGTACAAACACATCCCAAGTGCCCGCCACAGTGAGAGCCCCAATTCTCTGACAATGGTCCTGGCTGATTCCAGGGCCAGTTGGTCACTGCAGAGATTTGCTTCCCTCATTCTTTGCTTGGGAAGATGCATTTCAGCTCCACCTCCTGGCTTCCCAGACCCTGCAAGGAGAGCCGCAGAGCCTTGGCAGGGGGTTTGCCACAGTGTGAAGTAGTCACAGGAAGGAGGTGTCTGTGTGCGTATGTTATGGGCCCTCTGATGCTTGGAGGACTTGACTGTAAGTTGAATGGAAGCTGGATGGGGCCCGGCCTATCTTACTTTTCACAGGGCCCCACAGAACATAGCATTGTACCAGCACTAAGGACCCAACCCCGCTCCCATTGATGCCCAATGGCAAAACCCCCATTGATTTCAGTTGTGCAGGATCAGGGCCTACAGAAACCTCACCCTCCATTTAAACTTTCACTCTGTTCTTCCTTTTTACCCTTCCCACTCTTCCTAGGACTCCCTCTCTGCACCCACACAACACACCCCATCCCCTTAAAATGTGGATGCTAGTTCGCCAGTGCCTAGCGGTGCAGCAATCATGCAATTGGTATGTTGGCTCTGAACAATCACTTTTCCTCACGTGCCATCTCTCTTCTAGCTTCTCTAGCTACAGAGCTCACGGACCAGGGACAATACAATTGACTCAAGTATCCACCACTGGTTAGGGGAGTAACTGGGACTTCCTGACTTCAACCACCATGTGAAAGGGGAAATATAAATGTAAACAGAGTCAGGATGACCTCTACCCTGACATCTGGGGTAAATTATGGCGAGTGTGGAAAAGAACTTCAGGGGCTGATCTTGTTTGCATAGGTGACACCCACCTGCCTGGCATGAGACAACAGCAACTGAAAGTGGTTACTTTGGCTGGTGTGGGATCCCCAGTTTCTCTGTTATTGGGGCAGGAAGAATAAAGTTTTGTTACCCTGATTCTGTGAATCAAGGCCAGTGGAACTGTTGTATGACAGACGGACTCACCATTAACTAAGTAGCACTCGCTTGACAAGGGGTATGGGTTACAAAACCTAGTGAATTGAGAGAGGCTGGAGGCAGGTATTTGTACTTGGTGGTGTGGGCACCTTTTGTGAGCCTGAAACACCAATTGCACCTCTTCCTCTCTCCACTGTTGAACGTCAGAGCTAACTTTGATTCCATTAGGAGTCTAGTTACAGGCTGCTGAGCATATTTACTTTGGGCCAATAGTGCACCAGCACTGGGGCTCCCCTACTACTAGCTAAAATCACAAAAGAGCTAAAGTTACTAAGAGCTGAGATCACTCAGTGCTGTGTTAACTAGTGGGGGAGCCTGAAGCTATATTGCTAAGTGGTTGGCGGAGCAGTTTGCAGGGATGGCTGGAGGAGCAGCTAGCAGAGCGGAGCCTTGCGGGGACGGTTGGAGCGACCCAAGGAACGGTGAGCGGAGCAGAGCTGTTTGTGGGGACGGCTGGAGCGGTTCACAGTTTGGGGAGCGGAGCAGCTGGTAGAGCAGAGCAGTTCGTGGGACGGCAGGAGCGGCTCACGGGACGGCTGGTGGAGTGGAGCGGCTTGTGGAGAAGGCTGCGGCGGAACCCCATGGAGAGGCGGCCGGTCGGCCTCGGATCACGTAAGGTGCCCCTTAACACCCTGCATGCCCCCCTTTGAACTCTGGGGCTGCCCTGACCAGGGACAGAGACTTTGGGGGGTGTTGGACTTTTGGGACTTTGGGTGATTTTTGGGTTGCTGGTTTCAAGAACCAACGGGAAAGGACACGGCCCAATTTGCTGGGGTGGGTCTTCGCTCATGGTTTGATCTATGAACTCTAGTTGTGGTGTTTTCCCAATTTAATGCTATGTCGCTTACCTCATGTTATTAAACATTTTCTGCTACACTGAGACTGTGCTTGCGAGAGGGGAAGTATTGCCTCTTCGAGGCACCCAGGGGCGTGTGTAAGATTTTCCCAGGTCACTGGGTGGGGGCTCGAGCTGGTTTTGTGTTACGCTGTTGGGAGGGGACCCCTATGTACTGAACCCGGCCCTTGCTGCTATCAACTCGGCCTGGCAGAAGGGTTACATAAAAGGCATAGGAGGCTGACCTCATTTAAGGCAAAAGTCTCGTTCTGATTCAAGTCATTTCCATGCAACAGCTTATCCACCCAAATGAAGGGATTTTTGTCACTTTCAGGGGGCAACCAGCTAAAGCCAGCCGTATTTTGCCTGCTGTCATGGTCTCTCCTCAGTGGTGCAGTTATTCTGAATGGTCTTTGTGGTCACCAAGACAGTGGCCCCCAGCTCTGTTGCTGGTAGGGGAAAGCCATGGTCACGTTCTTCGTTGCCGGCGGAGAGAACAGAGAGCTTAATGACATCACTTCCTGCCCCACCTTGGAAGACTGGCTTCCTCTTTGAGAAATCTCCTCTTCCTGCTGGCCCAGCATGCTTCAGGGTGCCATTCACGTGTGGGCATGTGGCCAGTACGAGATCATCTTCTTCTGGCAGTTTTGGTCCCTTACAGGCCTGGCTTTCACAGGAAATGACACTGTCCAGGCTTTCTACAAGGGGAAAAAACCTGATTAATAATGCACAAGCCACGGTGGGCTGTATAGCTCAGGGCTGAGCTACCCTCCATGACATCCTCCTGCAGGAGCACATGCAAGATGGAGGTGGGGTGCTACAGTGAAAGGGGGAGGGGTAAAGGGCCAGTGAATGTCACCAGTGGGCACTCCCTCTATTGTCAGTGGGCAGCTCCAACAACCATTCAGCTGTCAGATCCCCTCCCCACCTCAGGACAAGGCCCTCAACGTTCATCCCAGCTGCCAAACTATTCTTGTGCTCCCAGTGACAAGTGGGAGAGGTGTGACAAGGAGGAGTTCTGCTTTTCCTCCCCATCCCACCTTCCAGAGACCATGTCTGCATTAGCCAGGTTACACTGACAGTTTCCCTCCCAACCTGCAGAAGAACACCTCGCATCCATGCTCAAAAGAGAGTCAGACGATTGCTAAGGAGGCAGAACTTGAGGTAACTTACCCCCAGATGTTGTGGGGGTAAGACCTGGGCTAGCCTGAATTGGACGCATGCATCACACTGGCACAGCTGGCGCTCTGTGAGCAGTGGAACAATCGACTGCAATGCTGCCTTCTCTAGTGTAGAGAAAGCCCTGGCCCTAGCTACTAGCTCTGCTTCTTCTGCTGGCTGCAAACCTCTGGGGCATCACTGCAGGGTGGGGGGAGCGCATCGGAGGGACACCATGGGGCACTATGCGGGGACAGAGATTGCATTCTCTGGGTTGCTGGGTGAGGCTCTGCAGAGCAGGGAGGGTGTCTTTTGGGGGTGGGAGGAGAATGGGGTAAAGTGGGTGGAGGACATTTCTGGGGAAGGGTAGTTGGCTGAGATTGCAAGGCCTTACACTCAACAGCATTTCTTGGTTTGTTTATCTGTAACACAATAACTTTTGAACACCACCTCTGATCCAGGCCAGCATTTCGGGGAATGTTCCTGGCCTCAATGGCCAGACCTCTGTTGATTCTGGGGATGATCAGAACATCTACAGAGGGACAATGGGGAACAGTTGGAGCGTCTATCACCTGTGGGTAGCACCCACTACCATCTTGCAGCATGACAATACCCCTGCTCACCCTCCCATCAGCATTTAACATCTTGACACCCTGAATACAGAAGAGAAATAATTGCTCTCCCTGCGGGGTGGACAGGCAGCCAGCAGGGGCAGCCAGAGGGAGAGGAGAGAGAAGGAGGCTTTCTTCATCCCTTCCTTCCTCCTTCCTAAAGTCCTGCCTCCTCAAAACCTGCTCCAGCTGAGGGAGAGAGGGCTGTCCAACCCTCCCTTCCAATGGGCGGGGGAGGGAAGACAGGTGCTTTGTGGAGGGAGAGGAGAGGGAAGACACACAGAGCCCCTGGCATGGGACCTTGCTGTGAGGGGAGGGGAAAGTGGGGGGAACAGAACCCCTGGCATGGAAGAGAGAATGGGGGACTTTTGGGGGGAGGGAAAAGGGGTCATGGGGGCACACAGAACCCCTGGTGGATGGGGGGAGACTGGAGGATGCTAGCATGGGGGCACAAAGAGCCCCTAGCAGGGGGGAGATTAAGGGCAGTTGCAGGGAGTTCCTGAAATAGAGAGGGATGGGAAGGTGGCCCACTGGGAGCTTGTGGAAGGAATGGAGGGATGGTGGGTGAAATGAGCTTGGCCTATGCGAGCTATGTGTGATCCCCTCCTATTATGGGGGTTTGGGATGAAGGAGACATGGCTAGTGGGGTGTAAAAGGGGACCATCAGTCAACACACTAAGGGAGCCGTCATCTGTGAAACCGCCTCACCTAAACCAGTTTAAGCTAGCCTAAGTGTGGACACTCATACTAACATGGTGGTGGGACAATCAATTGCTTTACCACTGACTGATCTTTCCAGTGCAGACAAGCCCTCATGGGTATGTCTACACTGTAATTAAAAACTCATGGCTGGCCCATGCCAGCTGACTGGGGCTCAGAGACTATTCAGTTGTGGTTTAGACATTCGAGCTCAGGCAGAGGCCTGGGCTCTAGGACCCAATGAGGTGGGAGAGTCCCAGAGCTCCTGCTAAGCTACAATTAAACAGCCTCTTAGCCTGAGCCTGAGTCAGTTGGCATGGGCCAGCCATGGGTTTTTAATTGCAGTGTAGACATACCGTAAGAGAGCTGCCAATGCCTCCCATGCAGCTGCCACCACCCCTTCAGTGTCCACTTCTCTAGCTGGCAAGCCCCTCTCATGCACAATCCCCTCCCATCTACAGGTGATGGAGAGGCAGCTGCCTCTGTAGTTAAGGTCTCAGCGCAGGAGTGCAAGTAGGGTGTATGCAGTACTGGCAAGAAATTTTTAGCAGGTATGGGGTACCGGAAAGACTTGGAGCTAGCCCCTTTCCCTCTGCAGGGGGGTGGCTGCGCTCTGCTCCTTAAAGGAGCAGAACATGGCTAGGGAGGGCATTAATTCTTTATATGGCTTTAACAGCACAATACATATGCTAACAAACTTAAACAAAGGCTTTGTTTAAGTTTGTTAGCATATTTATTGGGCTGTTACATTGGTCAGGAGTCCTCAAGAGGGAAGGTGTGTGTGTGGGTGGGGGGGTGGACAGAAGGTATTTAAACAATGTTTTTGATTCTGTTTCTCCCCCTTGGTCTGAATTATCCATGACATTCATACTGCATCACATCAAGTCCAAATCATTAGAGGACTGCCTCTGCTTGCACTGACCAGAGGATGTTTGGATTCTGATGTCAGCCCAGTTCTGCAGCCTGATGGGAATCAGGTGTTGTCCCCAGTGCACACAGAATTTTTCTTCTTTGCAGCCAAACTAGTCTAACATACATTTTGTTAACTGGAACTGGAGCAGCAAACAAAGAAAACACATGCCTCATTTTCTAGCTTTGTAGATGAGAGAACTATAAGTGAAGATTATAATGTCGGACACTGATGGCCTTAAACCAGCTGCCTCAGGAATCTGCCAAGAACTTTGCTGAAAATATGTTCCTCATCTTCGCAATGGAGCTAAGACTTTTCACACATCTGCCGACCTTTATTCAAATGAAGCTCCTCCTGATTTGACAGCTCAGGCATTGTCAGTTTCATCCAGAACAATTTACAAATTTGGAACCTAATCCTGAAAACCCTTAATCATTTGCTCAATCCCACTATTTGCATGAGTATGGACCACTTTTGTGGTAAGAGTTTCAGGAGTCTGTTCTGTTCTCATAAAGGAAGTTGAATCCCCCATTGAAATGCAATCTATGGGTACAATACCATAAAGCAGTTTAGGATACAGTTCTACTTAAAATTTGTCTTTTAATAAGTCATACATATGCTGAAATAGCTCCTCACCCAACTCCCATATTCCATATAAACCCAAACTGAATACTACGTATGTGGGGGAAAGTGAGTAGTTAAGCATGTTGATGTTTGTATATACAAAGGGGGATATCAGAGGGGATGGGGAGAGCTTGGGGGCCCCGGGCTGTGGACAGGGCAGAGAGGAGTCACATGGAGGGTCATGTGGGGAGGTCACATGCCCCCCCCCCATGTCCCTCCCATGAGTGCAGTACCAGCAAGAAATTATTTCTATTTGCACCACAGCAGCCAGGGTTCCTGTAACAGGGTGGCTCACCCCTTTGGCTGGGAAGCCTGGGGCTAGCCAATCCTGATTACTTCAGAGACACAACTGGGTTGAATCAGATGATTCTACCCACGAGCAGCAGGAAGAAAGCCATGGACGAGACTGAGGAAATTCAAGCAAGGTTGCTGTAAGGAAGACCCGAACACTGGGGGAGTTGGCACAGCTAGGAGGGCTGGGAGTAGCCTGCTAAGGCAGGAAGAAGATCCTGACACAAGGCTGAGCTATAGTCATAGAAAGCCTGGGTATAGTGACTGAACTGTGACCCAGCTCTGGGAAAAAGGGCTGGGTCCTCCCTAACTAAAAGGAGAGAGACAATGAATAGGGGCTGGGACCTAGAGGGCTAAACTCCTACTGGAAGAGACTCTGAACTGGGGCCCAGCTCTAAGAAGGAGGGAGAGAGACACACACTGAGCTTGGGGGTTGGAAGGCCCGACTGTGTAAGGACCAGGAGGGGAATATTTTAAGTTACCTTTGAACTAGGTGTGTGGTGTTTAAGAGGTCGCTGAAGCAGGGGGAACAGCGGCAGGGTGCTGCAGAGTGGCCTCTGCCCATGAGGGAGTGCAGCTGACCCTGTTTCAGTTCCATTACAAGCCCAATCTTCACCCCTTGTTAGTTTAGGAAAATAAAAAGATTTTCAGCAGCACTTTTTCTGATTGCTGTTAGGATGGTGGGGGTGTCCCCCCAACTGCCTCACATTTCAAGGCATTTCATGAAATGATACTGAAGTTATAATTAATTTTAAAATGACCCTTTTCAGACTCTCACGTCTCTGGCCCCCTCGTTTACACACTTAAACATATGTACCTGTTGCTATTTTAAGTCTTTTGAAGCTTTCTTTCTAGACTGCATACTGAAGCGTTGTTTGTGGCAGTCAGGCTTTGGGAACAGGGCTAAGGGAATTTCTGATGTACGGAGAATGTTTAAACTAGGGCTTGGTAACCTTTGGCACGCAGCCCGCCAGAGTAAGCACCCTGGTGGGCCGGGCCAGTTTGTTTACCTGGTGCGTCCGCAGATTCGGCTTCCCGCAGCCCCCATTGACCTGGGACGGCGAACCGCGGCCGGTCGGAGCCGCGATCGGCCGAACCTGTGGACGCGTCAGGTAAACAAACCCGCCGCGTGCCAAAGGTTGCCGATCCCTGGTTTAAACTATAAGACTACTCCACGCCTCATACTTGCTACCTTATCTTGTCACTTCCAAACTCGTTCATGGATAGATTCTTTCACCTGTAGCATTCTTAGTATTTTAATGCTTGTGACTTATTGCAGCAAACTTCACTCTAATTAATTAACTACTTGTTCTGCCTGGGAGCTGAAAGGCCCCTGATGATCTCTCACCCTAGCTGCCACTGATACTGAGAGGAGCACAGTCATGCAGCCAGCGTCAGTATGCAG